TAATATATTGTTCCTTTTATGATATTTTATCTATTCGATCAAAATATATGAAATATTCATAAATATTTGGTTCATAAATATTCGAAAATATTTAAAATTATTCATAAAAATTTAATATTATTTGTAGCCACTTCCTTGCCAAACATTTTATTTTATTATTAAATTTAAATTCATTTAATTTTTTCTTATTAGCACCTCTTTTGTCGATTCAATCAAAATTATGAAAATAATAGATGACTAATTTAAAAAATCAAAATTCTATTAATTATATTTAATTTTTAATTAAAATTTGTAAATGAATCGTTTTCTAACAATTTAACAAGCACTTGCTCAACATTTTGAAGAAATTGAGGAAAGAGATATATTTATAATTCCACCAAGCCCCTCCTCAATTATGATGAAGAAGATTTCGATAAAAATGAGATAACAAATGACCGAGTTCTGCTTAGAGATTCATAATTCAATTGATGACGACATTCCAGGACCATCTTCTACAAGAAGCTATTCTGTAATTTCATGCAATTTAAAATGTAGAAATAGATGTATTATATTCTACAGCCCTTTATATGGGAAAGAAGATAATAAAACATGAAAACGATATGCATGATAGAAGTCATTAGATATATTTTCTTTAACTTGTGAAAAAGACTTATATTTTCTAAATGTAGATCAAAGTAATATTTATGAAAGACAAATTAATAGGTCAATCCCAGATATTAAGAGATTTATTGTAATTCTATTATTAACTGGATATCATTCGCTCCCACAAGAAATAATGTTTTGGCCTAATATTTATATTCCAATAATCCGTAATACAATAACCCAATTACTATTTCGAATAATTAACTTTTTTAACCTCTTAATATGCTGGATTTTCTATTTAAGATTTTTTTTTGACGGATTTTTTTAGAATATCATATGGAGCTATTTAGGCATTATTTTAAAACTAATAAATAGACACAATTTTTATTTTAAATATAAGCATGCTTGATTTGAGTATTATTTTCTTAGAGACCATTTGAACATACTTATTTTCAAATTCTTTGATCGTTTTAATCGCAAACTGAGAAATATATAACCGGAAGAGCTCTTAATTAAAATTTTAATAAATCAATCTTGAGTTTAGAAGGTAAATTAGGATTAAGTATTATGTACATAATTATGAATTTTAATATTATAAATAGAAATAAAGGCATTTAAGGGGATAGTATACATTTATTGGGGAAGGGGGGGGGGGGTTATCAGTTACATTTTTAGATAAAATAGGGCAAAATATTGCTACAAAAAATTATTTAATACTTTTATTATAATCGTTTCATATTTATTTAACTTGAATCTTCAGCAGCGCTCATTTCTTAGGCCAATTGAATAAAGAATATGTAGGAAAGAATTTCTAAATTCTATAATATTAAAATATTCAATTTTAGCTATCCATTAGACGGGACTGCATGATTTCTAGTAAAATTATATATTGCTATATTTTTATTCTTATAAGTTTTGCATTTTTTTTAATAGTATATTTTAATATAACTTTAATTTCTGAATTGAGCGATAACTAAATATTCACCTATATTAAATATTAGTCTGGTCCTAATGATTTATTTTTTTTTTAAAATCTCAGTCAATCAATAAAAAAATGATCAATTGGCGAAAAGAACCGAAGAACGATAAAAAAAAATATTATAATTTATTATTTCTTTCAAAATAGTTTGATTAATGTTAACAAGGTAACCTACTTATTTTAAATAGTTAAAGATCTTGTTAAATTGTACTATTTCTTGCCTGCAGTGTTGCTAACTCGGCTCAAACCCAACAGTCGAAAAAAAATCGCTAAGCCTTGAAGCGACAAATATTATTTTTTTTGAAGATTGAGATATCTTAGGTTTAAATCTCGATAGAGGTTATGATAGTTTAGTTTTAGATTAAAAATTTATTTTAGCCACTTTAGGGTTGATTTAAAACCTGCAAAAAATGGAGCCATTTATAAATAAACTTATAGGCGGCGAACCTAAGTGAACTTAAATAAAGCAGAAGCGGCAGCGATAATTTTTAAAAATTTATACGGGAGTAATCATATTTTCAAATAAAATTTGATGTCTATCTTATGAATGGGTCAATAATATATATTTTATAGAATTTTTCAATGGGTAGAGTCCGCAATCCTCGTAGAGTTGACGACACTGAAATAATGTTAAAATCAGTCATCTGTCAATTGTTTTATTCTCAAGCCAGTACGGTTTTTATTAACCTTATGATTAATATTTTCAAAAAAAATTTTTTTTTAATATCTTTTATTAACATGAAAAAAATTTCTAATATTTATAAAAACAATTGTTAAAGAGAAATCTAAATTTTTATCATAGTTGATAATAAAATATAAAACGTTTCATTTCTCTATCTTCTATGTGGCTATAAAAAAATAATTCTATTTTTGACTATATAAAATTTTTAATTCTTATAACAATAATAAAGAAATGGAATCAAATTTAGCCACCTTTGAATAAAAATTTAGGGGGGGGGGCTATATATCAAAAAATAATTCACGAGGGCTTAGCCACTCGTAGTCACCCTTAGCAATACACTCCTGAGTATAGGTCAAACGATTCCCAATACCGATACAAAAAATAACAATTCAATATATTTATTAAAAACAAAGTGGAAATAAAATTCATCGATATTGTCATTTTTTTATTTAGTTATAATTAATTTATGATATTATTAAAAATAAATTACAAAGGAAAACGAATAATATTACCATCTTTCTACCTTTTTTTTTTTTATCAGTTTTGAAATTTTTATATGAATTTTGTTTTATATATTTATAGCATATTGACTAAAAAAAATTTAAACTTATGAAGGTTATTATTATTTTTGCTACCGGTTAAATTTATAAATATCGTAATCAATGTATTTTTTTAATTTAGTTCATTTATTAATCTCATCATTATCCCAATTTTAATTTAGCTGCTAATAGTTAAAATTATATCATCTTCACTCATTACTTTTTACTAACATTCCTAAATTTTATTTTATTTTCGAAAATAATATGGTAAATATCTCATGTCTAATAGATTAGATATCACAACATAATATATAAAGCCAGGGCCACCCAACGTTTTTTACAAGGTCCGGCAAATCTTATTTTTGCATCATGCCCACTATTCAAAATATTATTTATTTTCCAAGATATGTGGTAAAATTGAAAAAAAATATTCCGAAATTCAGCTAATGCAAGATTATTTAATAATTTTTCAAACTTTCAAAAATAGTTTTGAAGTTTTAATTATCTTATAGAATAATAATTTTTTATTTTTAAATATAAAAAGATCAAACAATAAAACTATTTAATCATATTTAGAATCAAATATTTTTTAGATTTTTTTCTGGCATTTTTATCAAAATTTTCTAACAATATTCAAATTGTTTCTAGTGTTATTCATTTTCTATTGAAATAAACAATGATAAACTAAGAGACAATTCTTGGTAGAGATCTGCAAAGTTAGGCCCAGCCCATACGCGCTTCGGGTCTAATTCTATTTAAAATAATTGGGTTCGAGCCGGGCCTAATATTTTTGAAAAAATTCGGGCCGGGTCGGGTCGGATTTTGGAATTTTTTTTAAATATATCTAAATTTATTAATTTTATATTGAATATTTTATGTAAAATAAAAATTTTTGATTATATTTATTGAAACTAAACGCCATATAACATGTCTTTTATTTTGAGTAATTATAAAAATTAATTTCTATATTTAAATAAATTCCGGCAAATTTTAAAAAAAATTTCGGGCCGGGCCGGGCTTGAAAAATTAGGCCCGATGAAGATCACTAATTCTTGAGTAAATAGTAGACCTTATATAGGTACCTTTATTAATTTAAGTCTTAAAAAACTTTTTTCAGGAAAAGCATCTTAAAAAAAATCAGAGACCTGCAGGCCCGGCCCTAAGCCAAAGTACCAGGGTCGGGTCGTATTTTAAATTTTTAAAAATACCCGGGCCGGGCCATATTTTTTAAAAAAATTTATACAACATGAATTATTATATTCGTCAATTAGATATGGTTATAATGATTATATATAGTTATGATTAATATAATGTTTGGTAAAAGTTAACATTAGCTAACACTCATAGTATCTATTACATAAAAAATTATAGTTTTCCTGCCATGGAATAAAATACGCAGGATTAAATACATTATTATATAATATATAATATATGTTACATTTTTTATTAAATCATTTTTATTTTTTTTATAAATACATAGTATATTCTCAAAATATTATTTAAACAAATTTTTTATAGTATCAATTTGTAATATACTAAATATCTGTTTAGAATAAAAAAAAATAAAATATGTTATTGTTGTAAAACGGCTCGTTTTAAACCGATTAAAAATGGCTAACTCAGTGTTTGATCCAGAAAAATTTTATGCAAGCCTGAAAATTTTGCTCATAGAAGGAGCAAAAGTCTAGACATATAGTATCGAAATTTCGAGGCTTAGTCAATATTTTTCTGGCGAAAATATTGAGTTAGCCGTTTTTAAAAATCGGCTCAAAACGAGCCGTTTAACAACATTAGCTAATATACTTGCTTATTAAATGATAATACTCGCCGAAAAATATGATAAAATTTTTTGTATATACCATGTCGAATATAATTTTAAAAAATTCCGAGCCGGGCCTAAAAAAATTTTTTTTTTTTTAATCTAGGCCGGGCCCCAAAAAATTTTTTCTTTAAATATTCTGGCCGGGCCTAAAATTTTTATGGTACCTCTGCAGGTCTCTGAAAAAAATACTATTTTTTTTTAATTGCCGCCCTAAAAATTGCAATTATTGCCGCCTCGCACAAATGTATGTAAAGGGCATGCATCGGGGTGGGTACTGCTAAAGCAATTAACAACTTATACTATGCATCATTTATTTTTGCAATATAAGCTATATACAAAACTTTAAATTCCTATCAACGTCAAATTTCAAAAAACGCAGTTATATTTATAAAATTTCATAATATTTTAAATAAGGGGAAAAAAGAAAGTTTTTGTCTATTGGTAATATTATATTTTAATATTCTTTTTATATAAATAATATATTTTTTTTATATAAAATTCGTTATTATTTTCTGCCCCAAATCTATAGTCGGCGATAAAAATGTCTTTTTACAAGCGTTTATAATTTCGTTGATACCTAAAATCCTTTTTAGTGTTAAGGGGGCCATTGTTAGGCATATCTAGACGAGGATACGTGAACCTATTAAATATTGCAAATTTATGCATGTTATTCATATTTCCGCCCCCTAACATCATGTTATTGTTAGTCCCTTGAGTAAAATCGTTGTTGTTATAATTACGTGTAAAATTAGTCTGGTTAGGATTAAAGTGATAGGGATCGTGCGAAAATTGCTGACTTATGGAGGAAGAACCCGAATTCATATTATTATTCATCATCATACCACCAGCCCTCATTTGCCGCTGCATCATAAACATTCGATTAGTAAAAACATTATTATTTGCATCGTTCTCGTCCGAGATTGGTTGTGTGTACACTTTAAGATCGCTAAAATTATTTGGAAATGATGGGGCGTTTCGCACATGAAAGTCATCTTGAACACGCTGATAAAGAATATTACCGACGGTTCCAGCGATATTCGGCGCATTAAAATTAGTCGGAAAATTATTTTTACCGTAATTTTGCTCGTTGTAATTATGGGAATTGCTATCAAAATTATGGGATTTATTGTAAGGCGCGTTATCTTGGGGGTATCGATTATCGGTATCGTGATATTTGCTCCCTCTTTCCGTTTCCAAAGTTCGAGAATCTTCTCGATCGAGAGCATTGAATTCGTGGCGATCAATAATATTCCTTATGGTGTCGCTTGGTTGTTGATGCGTAGAATTAGTCGGGGCTATGATGTCTAGACCCGGAATAAAGATGCAAGATTGAGTAGATGGAGTCTTATGATCATCCAAGGAAACTTGAGAGTTCACTACGGCTTGGTTAGCATCTGCCACATTTTTTTTAATGTAGAATAATTATGTTTAATTTCGGAGAAATAAAAAATAAATAATAATTGAGACATTGATTGTACTCGTAAAATATAAAATTAGTAAATATATTCATAAATTGAAGAATGTAAAATTGTAGTGCGAATACCTAAAAGAGGTGTTGCTGTATTTAGAATTTGAGTATTTTTGCTTGTTGAATATGATTCAATTTTGGTGTAATCTAATTTGAAAAAAATATAAACATTTTATTTCGTTGGTTAAAACAAAAATTTATTATAAATAAATTCATCACTTTAAAGCGTGATAGTTTAAAATGAGTTATAAAAAATGAGACTGCCAACCGTAAAAAAAATAATTTTGAAAAAAATCAATCTTATGGTTGCGGACTGCTGGATGGGATATACTTAAAACTCAAGGAAATATAATGATGGATAATATTAGGCAGACATAATAAATGTGACAAGGCTTCGAAATCGATATGATAGTCACATTTACAACTATTTAAATAAAGATGCAATCCATATTTTTGTTTTAAAAATCTAATTACATGTAAGATGGTAAATAGAATAAATTACGAAATATTGAATTTGAACTTAAGAAACATAATAATATATTTAAAAGTAATGTACAATTTAACATCATTATATTATAATTGTATTCTTTTGGACTCTAACGCAATATTGTAGATTCGAAAACATATATTTCTTGGTATCCAATATATATTTGATAAGGTAAATAAACAAAAGTACCGTTTTGTAGTTTCCTCGGCGATATATAATCTTCCACGCCAATGGAATTGGAAGATAATAACGTGTTATCCTTATCGTGCATCAAATCCCCAGGCCTATTCCGAGTCCAAAATTTTCTTGATATATTTATTCAAACATTAGTCAAATATGATTGAAAAAAAATTGATCATAGAAAATTTAAAATGGGCATGGCGATAAAAAAATTTCAAATCGTATAATACGTAGTGTGATCATTAGAACCGGAAACTAGTATATGGCCCAATGGATGCCAAGACAAAGTCCATATAATGCTATCGTGGGCTTGTTCGATCCCTCCAACGTCTTTATCATTTCTATATGAAATATTACAGGTTAAAAATATATTTTCTCTAGATAATAGATCATTTAATTATTTAAATTATAGTAGAAAATTTTTCTATAATTTATATTTATACCCAACTGTCCAATATAAAATGGTACCATCAGCCGAACCGCTAACAAATAAGTTCTCGTGTATCGGGTGCCACGATAAAGCTTTTATTTTTAAAAAAAATAGGCTAATATAAAATCGTTGACCAAAAATTAATCCAACCTGCTCAAAGTTTATATTACAAAAATTTTAAAGTAACCGTTAAAAAATCTAAGCAATTGTTAAAGAGAAGTCAATCTGGGGCTAATTTTTTAAAAGTTTAGGAAAGTTTCCAGTCCCAATGAGTTAAAAAATAAATAGTTTTTAAAACCCGGTTTATGGCAGGAATTTTTTATAATTCCATAAGATGTATGTTTAAGGGCAGATTATTTAATATGAGAAAGATTTTCCCTTTAAATGATAGATAAGGTTTTATGAACCAATATAATATTATTTAGAAATCGATTTTAAAATAATTAAGACAAAAAATAATGTAAAAGAAAGTTATTTTAAGACAATCCTGCGCCTGGCGTTATAAATGTGGGTAAATGACTATATGAAATTAAATAAAGATCAAAATCACATTTAGAAATTACAAGTAATGTCCTTTTTATGGCCTCGAAATGTCTGGACTTCCTCTTTAAAATTTCTGATATCGAAAAGTTTTAGCGAATGGTCTCTCGACCCAGTGACTAGCCAATTACTATTAAATGGATTCCAGCCTAACGACATCACCGTCCCTTTGTGAGAATGACTATAAAAGTTTAAAATAATAAATAGAAATTCAATAAAGTGTATTTTAGGTATGTCCAAAGCTATTTCTTTTACTTTTCGTTAACTTTAATAAATTTTTGAGACAATTCTTCTAAGTTGTTTGAAGGACAATATCAAAAATAGATAGCTAAAGAAAAGTTAAAAAAATACCTTTGGTAACAAAAGATTTTCACAATCAGTTTGTCTAATTTAGAAATAATAGAATATAGTATCATTAGAAAGATATTTGTTAGGGCTAAGAAAGAAAATTTAAAGCTAAGGACAAGGCCTAAATCGACTCATTTGTAACTCGAATCCGGATCGATTCATTAGTATATTTAACACGAAAAACAAAATTATATCGATTCGAAAAAATATTATTCGTCAAAGAGGTCTCTTTATTTTTCTATCAAATTATTAGTATAACATTCGTTTATTCGTAAGTTTTCAATATGCTCCTAGTGGAACTTTTACTTTATTCGCATAATTTAATCATTAATTATTTAAGCGGATAATTCATTTTCGATTCATATTATCTATTAAGGATGATAAAAAATAAGGCAATGCCATAAAGTAACAAAGTTTAAGATGCCTTATATATAATCTTGGTAACATTTAAAATAGGATGTTCGCGAAGTTGGAGGCTTCTTTATATTTTTCGTTTTTCAACATTTAACAATACAGTAGTATAACCCGCTAATAACCTTTTCGAATTTGATTTATGTGAGATCACATAATTTACGATATTTCACTTGAAATCCCTCAAAAAAGGTTATAAGCGGGGTTATACTGCATTGTTTTTTTTAAATATATGCTGATTTGCTATCTTGTTCTCTTATTCTTTTTGAAATAATTGTTGGTTTATCAATTATAAATTAACAACAATCATACCATTTTAATCAGCATAGGCATTAGGTCAGCAAAGTAAAAGCCTAGTTATACATTATAGTAACTGTTTTCCTATGATTGTACAATTCTTTTTGACAGGTAACAACATCATAATATTTCTACTTTAGTTGCTTTCAAGTTCCAAGTTGTAATATTTTTTAAGTATGATAAATTTATTGTTGAGAAGAAAATAATTGTATTCTCAAGTCTAATTATGTAAGTCATTTTTTATAAAATTTAGATAAAATATAATAAAATAGAATTATGCAAGATAATTATAAAATTAAATTAATTTTGAATAGTATGGTATATTTGCCTGCTACTATATTTTAAAAATGGAGAATTACTAGACAAAGTTGCTTAATTCCTTTGTTTTGAGATTAAATTCTTATCAATATTGTCAACTATTCAAAATGTTCTTTGAGGCGATTACATTTTGATAAGATAGTAAGAAATTCATCCAACTTATATATATCTTGAAAAAATGATATTATGAAAATCACCGATTAATTATATAAGCTTCCAACTCTATTTTGGTTGTAAATTGATTAGTCAAAATCTTATATTTAGGAAGTCTTCCATCTTCTTTCTTATTTAAAAAAAGCCACAAGATTAATTATGTTTTTATCGAATATAAAGGTTCATAAAATAATTTTTTTTTTGAATTCTGCTGTAGGTTTGATTGAAGTGGAGCGTGAACACAATTCTGCCAGAATTATTTTTGGGTGAAAAACTTTAAGCTTACATTTAATTCATCTAATCTAACAAACCTTGTTATTAAAAAATACTATATAGTAAAAACTAGAGGTCTTTTAAATTTAAAGCTTGAAAAAAAAATTAAACATATTTATAAAAATAACTGTTGGTTGGCTTTTATTGAATTAAGAATAATAAATAATTTTAAACGAATCGAATACAAAATGTTTACATAACAGAAGGTTATAATTGTATACATAAAATAAAAACAGTAAAAATTATGCATAAGAAATAATTTAATAAATTTAGTATATAAATTATCAAACATAGTTGCTAGAGACTGTCCACTCTTGGGATCCCATAACTTTACCGGTTGTTGATTGTCTTTGCTTCCAGAGGCTAATAGGGATTTACATGGATGCCAATCTATGCATTTAACATCAGACCCATGCCCTATATATATTATATTATTGACATGACAATAAGTATTTTATTTTTAAATAATAAAATTGTTTATATTTTAGAAATACATATTATTCAGAAAATTTTAGGGTAAAATACAAGAGAAATATCGAATTCTAGCAACAATTCTTCATTTTCCTGCTAGTAAAATAATCGATTTATGTGAAGTATTCTAAAATTTTCCAACTAAAAAATCTGTTTTTATAATTTTTGTTTAGGTAGTTTGATATGATTGAAAATAATATTAAATAAGATATCATTTATTTATTAGATAGAATCGCCACCTGAATGTTGGTTTGATCATACGTCTGGTATATTTATATGAGAAAATTGAATTTAATAACAAATAACAATATTATTTTCGTAATATTTTTTAATATCGAGTACAATTTTAATATTTTGTTATCAGAAAATAAGGTATAAATTTATAATTTTTTTATTATAAAAAAAAATTAAGATTGCTCAAAAAAGTAATAAAATATAAGTTACCAAAATATCGTTTTGGGCCTTGGAGTTATCCATCTTCGTTCATTTATTAGTAGGTGCTTGTTTGTAGCTAAAAAATATATCCCTTCGATCCTTAGATAAGTAGTTCACCGATGTAGCTTGAATATAGTATTTGTAAGCTACCCATTTACAGAAACCGTGGATAGAATTCTAAAGGAATTTTTTGTTTCTGGGTCAAGAAATCTGAGGGCACGGTAAGAAAACGTGCTAGAATTTGGTTTAGAAGCGTTGATTTTTGTAAATATTTATGTACTAGACAGCTTGTTGAAAGGCATATAAACTAAACTAATGTGAAATTAGAATATATGCCTCTTTCAATCCAGATTTATTCTGAAAGGGTAATAGTAGTTTCTCCAATTTAAAGTCATATTTCATATATTTAAAAATGTAGGAGCTTAAACATGAAGTGGGAAACAAATTTTACATCCCTAATTTTCAATTTTAAAATTATTAGTATGAGAATGTTTTGCATAAACTTTCAATTTCAGTAGGTTTATTCTTTCTGTTATGCAAAGATCAGGACTGATATGGATTTTTCGTGGTACATCGAAAAAGGCTTGGGGGCGTAAGGTGCATCCAGAATAGCACCCTGAGATAAATAAATTAATGACGTAAATATTAAATGCATAGGAAAGGAGCAAGTGAATCTCTAAGTTAAAATGTAACGAATAATAAATGAATAGGACGTAATTATTTAAGTATGAATTCTGTACTTGGGCCAATCTCCTAGAGAAAAAATTTGCATGCGAGCCCCGGTTGTTAAAATTGCAATAAAATAATTATAACTCAAAACAGTTAATTCTTCATAGATTTTTCTTTTCGAGTTTTATTTCTAATAGATTTTTGTGGCAGAGTATGGATCTAAAATTAATCAAATTCCCAAATTTTATAAATTGTCATTGGCTCTAGTGTTGCAGCTGTTGAAAATGGAAATTAAATAATATAAATAATATATTATAAAAAATGTCAATCAATTTTATTATTATGGATTTTGTGATTATTCATTATTTTGTTTTTTGGGAATTGAAAAATAAAACGAATATTCATTTTGGAAACAAGTAATTGTATTTTTTATAATGGTGTCGTGCTATTGTTTGTAGCTAATTTTGAATGATTCAATCGCTTCTATAAAATATTAAAATCATTTCAAAATATTTTTGGAAAAAAAATGAGATTTATTACCAATAAAAAAAAGAACCAAATTTAAATTTATTCAATTTCATTTGAGTTAGAGATGGACAAGAATTACGTCCTCATATAGCTGAAAGCTTGTCCACTACTTAATAAACATCTTTCAAGCAAAAGCAATTATATTAAAGATCAATCATTATTGGCATTATTTATGATTTGGCATTAATATTGGTTTCTTAAAATAGCACTCTTATTAAATGTAGCTAAAATAATGGGAAATTTGAACAATTTAAGTGCAGACTAGACTCTCAACAGCAAAACATAAATTTAATGGCAACTTTTTACTTTTTTTCTTTCTAGTAGTCAAATGAGTAGTTTTTTTAAAATTAATTAGAATAAACATTCTGGCCTTTTGAAGAATTTTTCTATGTCATGAGGAAAAATAAAAAATTGCATTTGTCCAATATTTAAAAATACAACATATATCCATGACTTTGTTGCCAATTTTACCGAATGCAGTATATCTTCCCATCCTGGAACAGCAAATAGATGAAAGTCCTTTGACGGTAGGGAGATTTACTGGCTAAATATTCATAGGGTCGCTACTGACAAATAAAAAAAATCTGTTTGATTAGGAGGTCTATTCAAGAGGTTTTTATAGTGAGAGTCCAATCATCCAATAAATCTTGATAGGAAGTAATTTTAGAAACCGTTGCTCTTTTGAATATTATTATCTTATTTATTTCTTCCTGTAAAGTTGCGATTAATCCATAATTGTTGGAGTTTATTTTGAAAGTGTTGTTTTGTAGGATGGGTAACATGTTGTCTAATTTATGATTTAGTTTTTTTCAATTATTTTGATTGCTGTTCTTTAGTAGTTTATAAGATTTAATCTTATACCTGTCATTCCTCGTCTGGAAAATTTTCTATGAGATCCTATCTATTTTTTGTTCCATTTTAATTCCTAAAATATTTTGGATGGTTTAGTCAATCGTGTTCATTAAGTTTGAATAATACGTTAATTGAATATAGGGATATTTTGATGAGGTAAGTTGTTGACGTAATATGTTATTAATGTTGTGGGTTTATACCAAAATATATTATTAATACATAGAGAAAAATGGGAAAAAATTCCATCGTAAATAACTTTTCATAATTTATATAATTATTATTTATCAGTATCTTTATCTAAAAAATTTGAAAATTGAAGCTCAAATCAAACCAACATTCGGATGAATAAATTAATGATAATAAAATGAATTTGATTATATTATAAGCTAAGGTATAAATAATATTTCAGAAATTTTTGAAAGGGTTGCTTTATATAAAACGGATACATAATCCTTTATTATTTTTATTTAATATATGCAAATCGCAAACTAATCCATAATACCATTTATTTCCACCCAGATAAAATATGATATTATAAACAAATTCAACATAAACTAAAAAACTTTTGATTTTTTTTATTATAACATTATATAATATATATAATACAAATATATTAAGATTCAATGCTTTAATATCTTGAAGGAAAAAATAGGCACCTCTCAAAATTTTTTCTTCGGCGCAGCGTTCAAAATCCCAAATCCTAACAGTTCCATCATCGGCACAAGATGCTAATTTGTGGTCTGTTGGACTAAAACTATGTTATATATATATATAGTTAAAAAAATAAAAATTACTAAACCCACTATATATCAAAATGTTTTTTAATAAAATCATTAGATTAACATAATTTAAATTTATGTAGCTTAGTTAAATTACTATATGCAAACAAAATTAAATTAAACGTCAATCCTCTGATGGCCTCTTTGTGAGCTTGGTACATTTTAACGTTGTTCATATTAGATTGCCAATATTTGATATAGCCACCATGGTCGGCGGTAACCATCCATTGATCACTGTGGCTCCATACCATAGCTCTAACTGATGTGTCATGGGCCTGTAAAAAAATAAACTTCAATTTTTTTATAAATTAAAAGGATAAAAATGTATTATGCCTTTTATCGATAGAAGGCTTTGGAACTGGAATCAGAACCCTTGGAATTGTAGCAAATATAGGAACCAGAACCCTTTTTCATCTGAGTTCTAAATTTACACCTAGAATTTTTTTTAAAAAATTCTATTTTAACATTTTATCTATATAATTATTTTCCACTTTATTTTGCAAGTAGCTGTCGACAAAAATATAAATCTTAGCCAAACAGTTGTAAACAAAATGTAGCAAAAACTTGTAGCAACCAACTCTGAGATGCCCTAAATTATTTTTTGTTGTAGTTATTTAAAAAAATGAAAATAGCTTATATGGTGGCATTTACCCACCATGAAAATTTCATTTAAAGGTAAAAATTTTCTTATGTTTCTATTTATAAATTGTATATATTCAATTTGTTTCCCCTGAAGCAAAATCAAAATGCTTTTGGCTATGTATGTCTATTTTTGGCATGAGCTTAGATAAATAGGGATGTAATAAAATTGCTAATTTTCTTGAAAAATTTCCCCATCTTTTTTTATATATTAAAATTTTATTATAAACTTGTGGTTCTTTATTGAATTGTATTTTTTTTGTTGCTATTCCACATATTCATTAATTTTTAATATATGGAAAAATATTTTTATAGTAGTATCTCAAAAATCTCATTTGAAATACATTTTTCCACACTATAAAGATGACAAAGATGTGTGTGAAAAAGAATATGATCAGATTTTCGAATCGTACATCATTTGAAAACTAGAAACAGATAATAAAAAAATTATAAGAAAATATGGCAATTAGAAATGCCAGATGAAGTATTTTTTGATTGAAAACATTTATATTGTAATGTAGATTAACTAACAATTTTCTATAAAATTTTTCAAGCCATATCATAGGCATGGTTGATAAATATTTGCATTTTCCCTTGACCATAATGTGAAGGAACTTTTTTTAAATAAAAGATGACATTGCATTGAATGTAAACAACTAAATTAATCTACTTCAATAATTTTGTAACACTAAACATTTTAAGTAAGATATAACCGGCTAATTAAATATAATAAGTGATCTGCATCGGGCCTAATTTTTCAAGCCCGGCCCGTAATTTTTTTTAAAAAAGTTTTGCCGGCCCGGCCGAAATTTTTTTAAAAAAATTCCGAATTTATTTAAAAAAATTCCGAATTTATTTAAAAAAATTCCGAATTTATTTAAATATAGAAATTAATTTTTATAATTTCTCAAAATAAAATCAAATATTTTTAGTTTACATAAAAAATTCAATATAAAATTGATAAATTTAGATATATTTAAAAAAATTTCGAAGGTCCGACCCGACCCAGCCCGAATTTTTTTATTTTACTAAGTAAATTTCTTGAAGACATTTTGAATAGATAAAATAATTTCTTCCAATATACACATATTAAGTTTTGGAAAATGGTCAATTTGACATAGGTTGTTGCAAATTCAATGTCTAGTTTATTTTGCTCTTTAGATGATAAACTATATATATTTCGTTAAATTGTTTTTTGGAAATAATGAGTTGTTCTAGTTCAGGCGCGTTATGCAGGAATTCACCGTGATCTAATTAATTTTGAAAACAATTTTTCAAACTTATCAAGGGTGAAAAATAAACCACTTCTAAGTTTTTTAAAGAATGCTATTCTTTTTGTTATTATTACTTAAAATGAAGTTTATTGTTTCAATTTTAATATATATTTGACCTTCAAAACACATCCAAATTTATGATCCAGTTAAAATTATTTCAATCTTCAAATTTTCCCATTCTCCCCGATTAGATTATAATATTCCAATATCAAATTTATAAAAAAATTAGATATAAGTATATATTTAACTAATCTTTCAGATTGGTTGTTTTATATTAATTCCTTTTTATGAGTTTAACGTTTTTTGTCTTTTTTCTATACTTATCACTCATCGTTATTTTCTTTTTTTAGTATAATCAGTTATCACAAAAATAAATAGAACTTGTAATATGGTTTCGAAATTAAAAGTTAATCCATTCCATAGTGTGAATTCCCCGCTAGAAGCACCGGTTATCAATCTCCTGCCATCGGGTGTCCACTATTAATAAGTATATATTAATGTTTATTAAATGGTACAAATAAAAAAATTTAAGATATATTTGTTATTATATATACCACGACGCTGAATATCGGGCATTTAATCTTATTAGTGGCGGTACGGATAAATTTCGTCATCACAGAATTAATGGGATTATTTGAATAGCCTTCAGGGGGGAGCATCTATTCATAAGCAAATAAAATAAAGTAATAGTAATTATTTTTAAAAACATTAATGAATTATTACCTCTACATTGTAAGATGGATCTGGTTCGGGAAAATTTATGTCTCTTGAGTCTCGTCTCCATTTGCGTTCCTAAAAATAAAATTACAATTTGGCATTAAAAAAAATTAATAAAGACTTTTAAATCATTTTCTAAACATGTTGGCTTAAAAAAATAATAAATAAATAAGATATATTTTGATAAAACATTTATTGTTGAATGATAAAATTTTTCAATCAATTTTATATTATTGCAGTGCTATAAAAAATCCTAAGTTTGAATAGTAACGCGTTTACTCATTAGAATATCATTTTTAGAGATTGGGTTGAATCATAGTTATACATAAGAACAATATAAAATGATTGATAAAATATTGTGGTAGGGTGGGTATATTTAAATCATTGATTTTTTAAAAGAGTTAAAAATTGGATTTTTTTTTAAAAAAGTTGGATCATATATATGAATCAGCTTTCGTAAATAAAATTTTTAAACCGTGCCACAATATCCATTTAGTGGCTACAGTTGAGGCGGAGAAAGATTTCGAAAATATAAGATTTAAAATTATATCCCAAAGTTCATTTCAAAGGTGTCAGTCTAAACAAAATATATCCATAAATATGACTAATAATATTAAAAATTACGGAGTATTTGATGTCTAAATTCCACAAGATAAAATTCATATGAATACATTATATTCTTAACTAAAATATTAAGCGAAAAACTCGATCTTGATAATTTATGAAATAACATTAAAACTTATAAGTCTTAACTCTCAGGAATGTAAATTTATTACAGAATATAGCCAAATATTAATATAATCGTTATTTTTTCAAAATGAATAAATTTTAGGTCAGCCTTGGGCAAAAACCTTGAAGATCCTATTTTGCAGATTTCGAGTTTTGCCAAACTCTTGGAATCTTTTATATGCGGTATTAATAAAAGGTTTATAACATTATAAAAATAAAATAAATATTTTTGAATAACTTTAGATTTTCACCAGTTTATAATCATAAATATAATTGTTATTTAGAGATAAAAAGGTTAAAAAAATACCGAATTTTTCCTTATTATATAATATTTTATTGCAAAAATTATGATTTATAAATTTAATTTATTATATCATAAATTTAAAATAATTTTTATATTCCTCGTGAGTCTTTAATTGAATGATTTGGATCTACACATTGCTTGAATCTGCTTATTAAAGCTTTATCCAAATACGTTTTATTGAAAAGATCATCTAAAAAATCAAATTAAATATATAATATTTAATGGCATTTTATTGACAACTTTTAAATAAAGGTAAATATTGAAGGGATATAAATCTTCCTTAAAAATTCAAGTCCGACAAGATGGAGAGGTTTTGTTATAATGTTGCGAAAAATAAGGAAATTTTGCAAGAAATTGCAATTTCAAGTTTATTTATAGACAAACAAAGGAATATTATATTGGACAAAGAAGGATACGGGATAAATTAGAAATTGTCCTGACTTTTTTGGAATTTATTTATAACAAATTATAATTGTAGAATCGGCAGCGTTATTATCTAACATACCAAAATTATTTTGGGATATAAAACTCAATTCATCAACTTTTATTATTAATGGAAATGATTTGAAAAGTGTTAAGATGCATATTAATAAACGAAAGAAATTTTGTTGCCGAGAATATCATTATGCAACAAATCTCTTTCTAAATATTATGGTGTGAAATCAGTGGCTTTAAATTTAATAAATATTATTTCAGGCCAAATTAATTGCGATATTGGAAAAATTGTGAGTAATTTAGCAAAATATCGTTCAAAACAAGGTTTCTATAAAGGAGCTGACATATAGGAGAGCTCAATCCATACCAAACCACTCTGATGGAGAAGGTTATGTACAAATCAACCCCTCTGTCAAGTGGCAGTACAATGTCTTTCAATACCACCCTCAAGTGCCTCGTCAAAGAATCTGGTCAGCATTTTGAAAAATTCATTCAAAAACGAGAGAATGAAAGAGTCGAAAAATTAATATCAATCAGGCATGACACACATTAAAAGGATCACAGAAATACATAATGTTCGGTATATCATCAAAAAAGTTCAGATTCAGATTTATCAATATAAAGTAATAATGATGATATTCCAATTACATTCCATGTAATAATAATAATTAATTAATAAACATTCTGCCATATTGTTATTTTTTGCGCATTCTGTTTATAAAAGTGTGCGATAATCTCTTCAGAATCTCTTTTTAGTGAAACTGGTGATATTGACAGTTACCATCGCCGCAGGCTGACCTCTGATAAATTTGAAATTTTAATATTTCTAAAAAGAAATCTTCGATATATTAATGTTAAATATTATTTTAATTATTTATCAAATTTCATAATATATTTGTTTATTACTTATTATGTATATAGATTAATGTTATATAAAAGTGATTATACAATAAAAATATTTTATATACTTTTAGAATTGCAATTAAATTGAATAAATATATTCAATTGACATAAGTTAATGGTAGAGTTAAATTATAGATGTTATACTAATAAAAAGTATGTATCTTTACAGAATACAAAATTAGATATGATATCGGATAGGTAATCGGCCGATATCAATTTAATATCGGATCGGATCGGCCTCCGAAAAGTGGCATCGTTACACCCCTATTGTTTAGTACTGCTAGCAGGCTTTAGGCGAGAAGCGTTGCTGCTAAATTCAAATTTAGAAAATTTACTACTGTTAAAGGCAATAAATTTTTTTGATGCATCATTTTCTTTGATAGATGAAAAAATTTATGATTTTGTTGCGTGTACCTTATATTATAAAAATTAAATTAAAGGAGCGGCGGCGCTGCTTTTTTTTAAATTTGGAGCAGAAGCGCGCTCCTTTTAAAAAACTAGTTTCTTATGAAATGATAGAACAGGGGGCGGGAGCTAACTTTTTATAAAAATGAGTGTTAACAACTCAATCTATTTAAATGATTTCGAGGTAAAAAGTGTAAAGGAACAAATATTAATTATTTTAGAAATAAATATTTTGCGTTTTAAAGAATTATAATGAGAGTAGAGAACATGCTAACACAGATAGTATCCAAGCATATATAAGTCACTAATACTATATAAAATTTGTCAGGGAAAACGAAAAAAAACAAAGTAATTTACCAAAAAGTTATAGCAATCAGTCTCAAAAGATAATAAAAGTTACTAATTTTAATTATAAAATCTTTGAGTGTATTGCAAAAAATTACCAATCAGATTGCGTCGAAAAATGGCTAACAAACCTGGTATTAATAAGTAAATAACATAACAAATCAAAAAAGTTATTAAAACAATGTTTTCGCCTTTCATATTAAATCTCTCGAATCTTGAGTGGTGAAAATACTAAAATAAAATTTTTATTAATGTTCTACATAATTAATCCTAATCTCCAATCAACTCTCATAGAGGCGTAGCTTCCGTTTCAGTAGAATAAATGTCTTCCTATTAAGTCCTAATCGAATCTAAATTTGGAAATAGGCTTTGACTAGGAAGGAAATATAGTTTATCATTTCAAATATTATGATAAAATCTTTATATTTTATTTGTTCTAAGTTTAATTTTGATTTCCTTGTTTTTGTAGATGGGTAGAATGAGTTAGTGGTAATATCGTCATTAATGGTGGAAGGGGGGGGGGTGTAGAAATGCCTGAATTAATTAAATGTTTTATGTGTCAGCTATTTTAGTTTTATTTTTGAATTATAGAACATGCATATGCAAATCATAAATAATGAGGAACTAAATAATTTAAATTTATCACGATAACATATATAGTGAAACGAGTGTTAATAATCAACTTACAATAAAAGGGGGTAAACCTAATAAGATTTTAGATTAATTTATGTAATACATATTGAAATCAAATTAGGACAAGCAATTAATTAACAAGATTAATCGTTTTTAAATAATAAAAAGAAATTATGTTGTAAATATATAATTTGTGATGAAAAATGAAAATATTTTTCGATCTTCTTTGAGAACTCAAGTAAGATTTTTGATTAAATTTTATCTAAAATTCTAAATCCTTTTTTGTAAAAAGTCTTTTTAAAAATTTTAGAATTTCTTAAATATAAACTATTTTGTAATTTTATATCCATTTATTTCGATAAAAATATGATAATACATAAAAAATATAATTATAATTTATCAATATATTCCATTGTTCCAAGAATTTGATGATAGTCCGGATTACCTAATTAATCAGTTGCCCGCGATAACTTAACTTCAAATAGCTTAGAATGTGATTGTAAAAGTTAGTAAAATTATAAGGAATAAATCCGTGTAAGAGCTGAATAATATTCCCAATAATTCCATCTCTTGAATTAGTGCGGGGATTGATTGTTCGATATTTATTTTTCAAGACTCCAAATTTTTAATGGGATTTAGCTGAGGTGAATATGGTGGTAAGTATTCAATCCTATCTATAAGCATCGATAAGATGGCTTCTGTGATAGATGCGTTATCCATTACAATAATTGCATCTGGTAAAGCTCTGTCATAAAATCAGGGAATAATAACCCATTATAAGCTCCTTCGAATATTTTATAATGGATTACCCCTCCAATTCCAATTGTACAAAGTATGCTTACATTTTTACCCTTAGATGATGGGATTTTTATGGGGGTAAACATAATAAGATTTTATTTTAATTTAATACATAATGAAATTAAACATGGACAGGGTCATTCCATGTCAAATGAGCAAAAAATCAAGATTTTCGGCCGATCCCTTTCAATTTCGATAAAAAGTTGTAGACTGGTTATATATCTTCCCATTAGATTATAAACAAAATTTTAGCGCATTAGCAACTATATTAGCGGAGATAATCGGAGTTAAAGGTCCAAAAAACGTCTTTTTTTGCTTTTTACTGATGTTAAATAATTAGTTTTTAATTTAAAACTAAATATGATCAAATATTAATCTAAAATCAATAACTAAGTTAATAATTGATAATTATGGCGAAACATCAAAATTAATTTTTGATAAAATATGGGTAATCTTATGGTCAGTTGAAAATTTGAAATTAATATTTCGAAATGAATATGTTCTCCGATTTTTAATAATTTCT